ATTTAACGCTCCAATTCAGATCGGACATTGCTGCGTATTTATACATCCCATACTGGCAAAAGAACGCCCCAGTTTAGAAGGTTTTTTTTCTGACCGATGGGGAGAGGTCGAGAGGTGAACATGTTTATATACCTTAATTAACCCTTGGGGTTCCTTCAAATTTGAATGATCTGATAACTAGTAATGAATGCGCAATCCTGGCAGCAAGATAGAATTGAGTTTTGTTATGAATGTCTTCTCAATGACAAAATCCATCAAATGGCAGTTTTGCGTTTACCTTTCGGTAAAGTATTGAGCAATACGACTTAATGTTATGAAACGCTCAAAGTAAATATATGAATCTAATTAACTGTGTCTTACCAAGTAAATAGTTGAATAGAGAATGGAAATGGGGAATGTGTCAGAGACAACAACCCGACCAAAAAGCAGAAAAAAGCCCAAGGCCACCAATTAGACTTCAACACAGAAAGACATTTCAGCTGGCCCCTAAACAATTATGTATACTACAGCGTAATGGAAGCCACACTTAACTCCGAAACAGAAATGACAAAAATAAAAGTGTATTCTCAACGGTAGTCGTGTGGCGAGGCGAAATTGAATTTCATTTCTTCTAATCTTGACCCTAAATGCAGTTTTTCGTGTAAAAATCATTTATTTGTTATTATCTATGTTCACCCAATTTGTGTACTGGTGTGATGGATCTTAGAAAAATACTGCTTCCTTGCTGACATATACTATTCAACGTTTTAATTAAAATCCAGTTGTGTTATCACATTTTCCGCCAACCTATAACTGCATGTGTCATGCAAGAATTTTCGTTCTTATCATAACAAAGTAGCTATTTCTGTAAAATGGAATTAATTGTTGGGTGAAAAAGTGTTACCATCGATTGATTGTTGGTTGCGTAACGTCCACTGGGAAGTATTTCATGCATGTTCAGGACGAGAACAAATTAAGAATAAATGCATAAGGTAAGTCCTATAATAGGGGCCGTCCGGAATGAATGTCGGAAATTTGGACTGCCCCTGAAAATGAGGGTATATTGGATAGGTACAGCAATTTTGCCTTGCAACGGGCCACCTACGGAACCAGCAAAGAGTTGTTTCAAGAATTCTTAACGTACAGAAAGCTTGGCACTTTCTCTACACAAGGCATCGGATCTACCGTCCTTTTTCTGACCGGGCGTTGCTGTGTATTTATACATCCCGCCCAGTCAAACGGACGCCCCACTATGGCAAGGGTTTTAAAGCTGGTCGTTAAAAGACGAAGAGTGACTATATTTCTATTCCCCAGTCACCCTTTGGGTTTTTTTTATTATGGAATACAATTAGTTATTGTATATAAATTATGGTCATGCATATTTGTCAGTGTAATCATGGTAATATACGCATATAAGAGGGCCACGAAATGAAGGTGATTGCCGAAAATTCAGCTTCTTCAATGCAGCGAGAAAATCCCGCACCCGGAAGCGGGCTTCAGCTGGCCCCTAATCAATAATGTATACTAGTTCAGCGAAATGAACGCCACACTTAACTCCGAAACATATAAATGAACCAAAATTAAAAACACAGGAGACTAACGAAGGCTAGAGGTTATAACTTGGGACATGCGCATGAATGTGACGGGGTTAAATAAGTTTTGTGAGGTCTCAACCCTCCCCCTATACATCTAACCAATGTGGAATAAACAATCACACAGCAATACGCACAGTAAAACTCAGTTTAAAAGAAGTCTGAGTCCGATTTTAGAATACGTAACAGAAGAAACTAAGTAAAATGACAATGATCAACATAAATTATCAAAGGACTACTAGCAGTTATTGACATGCCAGCTCCAGACTTCAATTAAACTGGTCGAAAGGTTATGTCTTCACCATATGAAAATCAAGCACAATCCCTCCCGTTAGGGGTGTAGTATTATGCCGTCATAAATTGTACGAGAACATAACCCGTATCATACCAACAACTGGTTTTAGAATAAATTTGTATATTTTGTATGAAAGACCCTATGAGTGAATCAATATTAATTCCAGACCTTACATGTACTTTTTTATCAATTCACTAGAGAAGTTATTGTTCCATGTAAAGTCTTGTTATTTCATTTCGAACTTCAGGCACTATTATCATTCATATTTAGATATACACTTACGTATAACCCTCTAAAAGATTTGTTCATACAAATTGACGGGTTTAAGGCATTGACTACTAGTAGAGATTTACGAAAATTCTCGGTACCGACTGTTTACTCAAACTTTGATGGTAAAATGAAGGGAACCGTCTCAAAATAAAAATGTACCAATAATCTTTTCAAGGTAAAGGATGCAAATAACTGTTAAACAAGTTTTTACAAAACCATTTATTTCAATTAATAAAGATTGTCGTCGGGTCTCAAGTCCGGGTCCCTCCCTAGAGTACCCATCACTTTATATTTCAGGTCACATGTATGACAAAAATTCTATATTCCGCAGTGATGTTATTTAAATTTCGACACTTGCGTTTCTAGGGATCCGGTTTTCTTTTGATTTGCTGACGCGTAAATGGCGTGATAACAGGATTTCGATTTGGAAAAATATTACTGTAAACCAATTTATTTTCGCAGATACTTTATTTCGCGTTTAGCCGTTTCTATTCAACTTCGCGGCCACTTATTTTCGCGATGTTCTTATTTCATAGATTTATTGATATAAGGGAAGATCGAAGTTTAACATCTTCGCGACGATTTATTTTCGCGCTATTTTTCTACTCGCGAAAGTCGCAAAAATTAATCGCTCACAAAAATTAGTTGGTTGACAGTATCTCCAGTCAGCCCACATTCTTCAGAAAAATTTAGCGGTGCTTCGAATCCAATCTTTTTTCATCATAATGTATACTGCTGTGCGTCATTTTGATGGCCTAAAAATCCGCTTTCAACGTAACAAATGTTTCTCTTCGTTAACTATAACTTGCGTATTTACGACTTGGTAGTAACGATGATCGGATAAATACAGTTCTTGCGGCTCAACTTGTGGCTTATATATTTCTACAAAAAGTGCCGCCTAGTGCACCGATGTCAACAGGGAGTTAAGGACAAAGACCCCGTTCGTTCAGAGCAGGCCACATGTGCTAAATAAGTATAAGAAAACGATGATATTCTAGATGTCTAAAGCTTTTTGATAGACAGATTGAGATTAAAGAATGCATTTTATGTCAAAGATGTATGTAAAATATAACATAAATTTCCGTTCTGGCTTTGTAGATTTTTTAGGACTTTCAGTTGCAAACATCAAATAATTTCTGCATATAAGGTCACAAAACGACAAAACATTAGCGCGGAGGTGATGCGCATTTGTTCGATTCGGTACTTTAAATTAGATAAATAAATAAAATAAAATATTTTTATTTCAGAACCAATAAAATTGAGAATGAAAATGGGGAATATGTCAAAGAGACAACAACCCGACCAAATTTAAAGAGCAAAAAACAGCCGAAGGCCACCTATGGGTCTTCAACACAACGAGAAAATCCCGCACCCGGAGGCGGGCTTCAGCTGGCCCCTAAATAAAAATGTGTACATAGGAAAAATTGCACCATATGTTTTCATATGTTTAACATATGTTTTTCATATGTTTGAAAACATATGTAAACATATGTTTAGGCCCGACATGAAAACATATGTTTTCGAACATATGAAAAACATATGGAAAACATATGAAAAACATATGTTTTTAAAATCATATGAAAAACATATGTTTTTCATACATGTAAACATATGAAAAACATATGTTTTTCATATGTTTTTTACAAACATATGTTTTTCATATGTTTTCATACCTGGCCTAAACATATGTTTTCATATGTTTGTCCTAAACATATGTTTTCATATGTTTGGCCTAAACATATGTTTTCATATGATTTTATCTTGGTCCTAAATATATATTTTTTATATGTTTTTAATTGCTCAAATGGATTTATTTTCTAATAGATTCTAAACATGGTTTGTATATATATGTATTTTTTTTTGCGATAGGTTTTTAAGGGTAATGTTTTGATGTTTTTTAATATGTTTTTCTTTAATTTGTTATCTTTTTTTTCTGTCAAGAACTCATTTTGAGAGTAAATACTTCATTGTGATGAGTTGTTGCTTTAAAAAGTAAAAAACCCAAAATACCAAACTCCACAGAAAATACATGGCAAAATCAAAAGCTCAAACAAATAAAAAACAATAAGTGCTCCATAATTTTTATATAAAGTAGATTTTTTTTTTATTAAGTTGTTGTCTCTTCTATTTTCATATTTTTGTCTCTTTGACATACATTGTACCACATTTCTATTGTTATATTCTATTTTCAGTTGTTTGTCTCTTCAACATACACCATTTATAGTATTGTCTATATTCTATTTTCATATGTTAGTCTCTTTGACATACCCCATTTTCTATTGTCTATATTCTATTTTCATGTTTGTCTCTTTGACATACTCCATTTCTATTGTCTAAATTATATTTTCATAATTTTGTCTCTTTGACATACTCCATTTCTATTGTCTATATTATATTTTCATATGTGTGTCTCTTTGACATACCCCATTTCTATTGTCTATATTATATTTTCATATGTTTGTCTCTTTGACATACTCCATTTCTATTGTCTATTATATTTTCATATGTGTCTCTTTGACATACCCCATTTCTGTTGTCTATATTATATTTTCATATGTTTGTCTCTTTGACATACATCATTTCTATTGTCTATATTCTATTTTCATGTGTGTCTCTTTGACATACATGTGTACTGGCATTTCTATTGTCTATATTCTATTTTCATGTGTGTCTCTTTGACATACATGTGTACTGGCATTTCTATTGTCTATATTATATTTTCCTATGATGTATGTGATATTTCTATTGCTATATCACCATACACAGATGTGTAATTGTCTACACTGCTGGCTATTACTGGTGCATGTGTATGCAGCTGCTTTTTGGAAATATCCTGTATGATTAAGAAAGACAACTAGATTGACTTTGAGCTCAATATTGTATTAATTAAAAATTAATGTTCCTTTGGTTCTGTTTCTTTACTTTTCAGTTCCTGCAAGTAGAAATAAAAGAACAGAGTTTAAATGTCCACCTAGTCGCACATTTTTAGCTCATCACTTGGCGTCCGTCATTGTCGTCGTTAACTTTTTACATTTTTAACTTCTTCTAGAGAACCACTGAATGGATTGGAACAAAATATAGCATGAATGTTCCTTATGAGGTGCTGACCAAGTGTTGTTACTTTGTTGCCGATCCATCATCCAAGATGGCCACCAGCGGGGGGCTTAGTTTAACAAAGGACCCTACGGGAAATACATACAAATGTCTTCTTTTAGAGAACCACTGAATGGAATGAAAGCAAACATAGCAATATTAAACCAAATTTGGCCTCAAACATTATTATAAGTATCTGTTATGATTTTTATCTTTTTTTTATATGATTTCAAAAACCCAAGTAGAGTCATGTGAGCGACACAGGCTCTTGAGAGCCTCTAGTTTATCTATCAAGGGGCAATATTAACAAAAAACAACATGTTTTTTTGTTCTCAAAAATATTTATAAATAAAAAATATGCTTGGGGGAAAAAAAAGTTCTTTTTCTTGTATACTAAATATTTCAAACTGACCTTCAAGGGCATTACTATAATAGTATACTATAAGTTTAATAAAAAAAATTGAGAGCATTTACGAGGCCATTTTCCATAAATTTAATATTTCCAAGAGGCATAACTCTTTTGAAAAAATTCAATCGGCCATCATTACAACTGCCAGTTGGACATCTACACCTTACAATAATTCCATACACCAAATATAGTAAGTATAACTTATTGCTTCTAATACCTGAGATATTGACCATGAAAACTTTCTGACAGAGTAGACAGACACTAGCTATAGGACCTTGCAAGGCACCCACATACTAAGTAAACAGAAATATCCTATTACCATGATTACTATAAATAATATTAATAAGAGAGAAATTAACATTACAAAAAAACTTTAACCACAGACTGAACCTAAACTTTAGGACAGCGACGACGCCCCTGGCAGAATCTTGGATCACTGTCTCGCTTTCGTGAAATAAATTTGCAAGCTTGACAAAAAGCAGAACATGTATTTCAGAAATAGAAATTCTATGCAATTATTAATACTTATATGCTGTTATGGTCCTACATATTCTTGTGTGTTCAATATTTTGGCATTACACAAAGTCATGCTTTCTTAGACTGTTTGAAATAACAAATGTTTTGTTGTTACATTAATTGATTAAATCTGTTGATTGTGAATTGATAGATATTTTAGTTTGGGAAAACATAATTTTTGCATCTTTTATTATTTTGTTATTTCTTTTTAAGTGCTTGTTGATGAGTCCAGCCCTTTCTGGCTGATTTTGACATTTGTTTCTTATGTTGGGTGCTGTCTGCCATACTGTGTGTAGTTTTATTTTTTTCATTGGTTCACATTTTTTCATCCTTATACAAGTTATAGCAATAATAGGTTACTTTATGGTATGGATTTTGATCATTGTTTATGGCTGTACAGTGACCAGCAAATGTTAACATCTTCGTCCTTTGGTTTTTTAATTGATAGTTGTCATATTGAGAATCATACATGTACCTCATCTCCTTATACATGTTATATTTATATGCTGGTTCATAAAAAATCTTAAAAGGGAAATTATTCAATTGTTATATGTTTGAAAACTCTTTCCTATAATGCAAAAACAATAATTGATTGATTTTCTAGCTTATTTTAATGTTCAGTGGCAAATATTTTATGTATATTCAAGACGAGAACAACTTTTAAATATACAATTCATATTACATTGTAATATAAACAAATTCTATAATTATTTTAACTTCTGACATCTCATGTGTGTGTGTGTTTGGAGCAGAAGAAGGATTCCTTGATAAAATTGAGAATGGAAATGGGGAATGTGTCAAAGAGACAACAACCCGACCATAGAGCAGACAACAGCCGAAGGCCACCAAATTGATGCATACTTGACATCAGAAAGACATAAATAAACAACAGTATACATGGTATACATGCTGTAACATGTACAATTACACTTGAAAAAGTTTTAAATAGATAACATTAAATTATTTAAATTAACTGCAATTCTACTGATGAACTTACTTTGCAATTGATACCAGTTCTTTTTGCCTGACATCCGCACCTACATGTACACCAGTGATTCTAATACTGTACTTTCCTTTCATTTGGTAACCATGGTAACAAGCTAAAATTGTAAATCTTAATTTAATCCAGAAGTCCAGACAAAAACAAGATCATTTTTGTAGATGTAGTATGAACTGATGCTCACTAATTTATATTTTTACTTTTGAGTGAATGGAAACAAATATGCAACAAACAACAAAAAGATCAACAGTGTAACTAATATTAATAATATATGTATAGCCTAAGCCCGTCTCAGTATAGTAATAACTTTTTCTAACATAAAATGATCTACTCTGCTGTCTACCCAGCAGGCATTTCAACGTTGAAACAACGTTGAATCAACGTTGATATGTAACGTTGAAAAGACGTTGAAATAACGGTTGGTTTTGAAAGTTGACACAACGTTGAATGTCTGACGTTGAAACAACGTTATATTTTCAACATTGTACAGTTGGAAAGCAAGTCCTTAGAAACGTCCGTTGTCGTCAAGCTCTATCAGCAACAATAGCAGGGGGAATTAATTAGGTGGCGCTACAGTCGTCCGTGACGTCAAAAAGTCCGCCAAATCAATCGGCTAAAAGATTGACGTAACTTAAAGTATTTATTCAACTTGTCATGCTTTTATTATAATCGAATTTTAAAATTTGTAAGTTTTGCGACCAATATAGTTTAAATACGTCATGCAAACATTATCAAAAATAGCTTGTTATTGCTATTTCTTTATCCTGTCCGTTCAAAAAAATTTCAGCCATCTTTTTTGTTCGCCAAAAACATCGATTTTTCATAACTTGACGTTTGCGTATCCAAATACAGAAAAGAACGGTAATAATCTCAAATGAAACCGGGTAAACTATTTCAAATTTCTACACAATTTTGAAGCCATCATTTTTTACTATTATACATCAATTTTGGTGACCACCAGTCATGTGAATTTGTACCTGGTTTTGGCTGCGTTTCTACTTCAAAACAGTAAAGTTCAACTTCTTTTCATTGTACCTGTTTCCAAAGTACTATAAAATACTGATTTTATTATAGATATGAATGAAATTGTGATTAAAAATTGTTGTTTTTCACAATTCCATACGATATCTCCATTTTAAAGTAATTAAACCCCTTTTTGATCCCCTACACAAATTGACGGTGACATTGTTTTCTTTTTCAACATACGTCATATAACGTTTACAAAATATGTGCCAGGGTCATGTGCATAGTGAAAATTTACACATTGGACAAGTGAAACAACAAAAAAAGTTCTTCTTTATGGCGTTTGAAACTATAATAGGTCTAAGAAAATTCGATTTATACTGGAAGCAAATATGACAAATTAATGATGGTCTATGAATAAACAAAAGCACAAAAACAGCAATAGAAAATGCATTGCAAAGAAAATTTCTGGAGGAAAAAACATATGAAAAAAGGAAATGAAGGTCAGTTAATTATATTTATATTTTATAAGTTACAAACCTTGCTTATTAATTATCTCTTTACTAAGTAAGCTACATTAATAAGAACAAACGCTAGCTTTTCAAGTCAAACAAGAAATTAATTCATAGAGATGTGTTCTTACAAAATTGAATTTATTCAAATGGCAAATTCTTTAATCATCTTTGATCATTATTAAAGTAAAATGCACAAGATTTGTCATAGCAACTTTCATTTCTGAGATTAATATCCAATTATTCAGGTAAAATATACAATACTTTGAATATGTAAAGCAGCAGATATAGCAACCTGAAGAGAAGATTAGCCCTATTTTTTTCAAAATGTGTACTTTCATAATCTATAAAATACCCTGAGAAATTGGACAAGGGCCACTGTGCTAGCAAATCTAATAGTTGAATTTTACAATAATAATGATTTTAAAATTCAAAATTATGTCACTTTCACTTATAATTTTAGTTTAGCATTTTTTTTTTACAGAATTTTTGTCATTTTTTTGGTAAACTTTTCCTTTTTCTGTATGATATTTTCTAGGCAGTACTGTACTGTTCAACTCAGAAACATAGGCTTGGGTTAAAAGGCTTTTTTACTAAATTGTGACTCTTGGTCCCACTTTATTAAAATATAAAATATAAACGGTCAGTACTATTTTTTTTTCAGAAAGATTATTTAAATTGTATACAGTATGTTTTATTGCATTAAACATTGTTAGAAGTAGTTAAAAAAAATCCATTAGGAGTGATCCCATATCCCATTATAAAAATTACAAACTGAAAGTAAATTTCATCAGCCAGAGCTAATTTATATCAATTCAGCTATGTTTCTAGATCAAATTTTTACCAATTTTTTGTCTTTTAATTTTTACCTGTAATCCTTCTCTGAAAAGTAGAGAAGTATCTCTTCTTAATATTATAATAACATAGTTGTTAATCGACTTTCATTTATTTTCTTCTTGATTTTTGTAAAATAAACTCCTTTTTATTCATTTTGGTGGATTTTTATTTCTGACTGGTGATATCAAGGGGAGATAACCACTTGCACAAATCGGCAAAAAAACCACCGCTTCGTGTTGAACATAACTTGACGTTTGCGTATCCAAAACTGTATTGCCTAGATATTCATATCGAGTGTTTGTCTTAATGAGATGCTTTATTAAATTCAAATTCAGCCCATCATTTTTAGTTTCCTCGAAAATATTTAGATATTTCGATCGGGAGCCTTGACAATTTTCACACAAACTTCAAGTTTGAAGATAAAATAAAGAATAAAGGACTTTGAGTTGATGTGTAAGTTTTGACGAGTTAAAACTATGTGTATTCAAGATTATTTTGATCAATAAGTTTTTACCATGACAGTGGTATTTTAGTAAGTGAAAGTGAGGTTTGTCTCATCCGTAGTTTTACTGAATTTTCACGGTCACGTGACTCTATTGTTGCTGATAGACTTGGGGTCAAACCGTGACCTGCTTTCCAACTGTGTATCAACGTTGATTTTTGATTGAATATAGGTTGAAACTTAACATTGAAACAACGTCACCCTAATATTGCAACAACATTCTTCCATGTTGAAATAAGCAATGCGTTGCTTGTTGTTGGTTCATCTGTCACATGTGTTTGTCGTTACAAATTTAGGAAGTTTGTTTTTCTCGTTTGAATTGATTATTGAAGGGTGTATTGTGTCCGGGTCTTCTATTGCGGTCTATACGGTGTGGTGTGTGCTTATTGTTGAAGTCCGTTTAGTGACCTCCACGTCAATTGGACTCTGGTGGATATTTGTCTCATTGGAAATCATACCACATCTTCTTATATCTATAATAGTTAGTAACCACACAAGATATTGAAGCCACATGACTCTACAGAGGACATCAGCAAGATTTGAAAAAAAACAGTACAACAGATGTCAAGTTATGACAAAAGCTAAATTAAATATAGCCAAAAGGTGATCTGGTAAATGAATACAAATAATCTCTTAATCAATTTTAATTATTTTCGTGCAAATGAATTGTAGTCTCTAAACTCATCCAACCATTTCTGGTGCACAATCCTTCTTTAATTCAGCTTCTGATATCTTTGTGTGACCTCCATTACTCTTCCTGAAAAAACAAACACAAATACTATTTTGTAAACATGACTTAGCAATTACGTAGAACGTCAAAGGCAGGGAATAACATGTTATATAGGCCAGGTTTTTTTTTTTTAAATTTACTGGTTTATATAATAGCGGATCCGTTTTTACCATTTTTTTCGCTCCTGTACATGTACAATGTAGCAATGCCGCCTATCTCGAGCACCACGATCTATTGTTCAAATGCCACCTATTTTGGCCACCACGATCTATTGTAACAATGCCACCCATCTCAAGCAGCAGGACCTATTGTAACAATGCCACCCATCTCGAGCACCAGGATCTATTGTAACAATGTCACCCATCTCGAGCACCAGGATCTATTGTTAAAATGCCACCTATCTCGAGCACCAGGATCTATTGTAACAATGCCACCCATCTCGAGCACCAGGATCTATTGTAACAATGCCACCCATCTCGAGCACCAGGATCTTTTGTTAAAATGCCACCTATCTCGAGCACCAGGATCTATTGTAACAATGCCACCCATCTCGAGCACCAGGATCTATTGTAACAATGCCACCCATCTCGAGCACCAGGATCTATTGTTAAAATGCCACCCATCTCGAGCACCAGGATCTATTGTAACAATGCCACCCATCTCGAGCACAAGGATCTATTGTAACAATGCCACCCATCTCGAGCACCAGGATCTATTGTAACAATGCCACCCATCTCGAGCACCAGGATCTACTGTTAAAATGCCACCTATTTCGAGCACCAGGATCTATTGTAACAATGCCACCCATCTTGAATACCAAGATCTATTGTAACAATGCCACCCATCTTGAATACCAAGATCTATTGTAACAATGCCACCCATCTCGAACACCAGGATCTATTGTAACAATACCACCTGTCTTATTGATTGCAGAGGTTATGTTTTAAATTTGATATGCATTAAAAAATATTAATCCAAATAAAATCAAATCAAATCAAATGTCTTTACTAGTATTCCTAATTAAAGGTCCCATATAGAGCATATAAATCAATTCAAATCACAAAGTTCACACAAACAACACAGGCAATCTAACATACATACTGATTATTGATAATCAAAAATGTTAAAAATCTTAAAAAAATACATACCTTGACAGCTATTACTTTTATCCTTAAATCTTTCTTTCCTAAGTTACTGATCTGTCCCATTCCTAAGTTACTGTTCTGTCTCTAATACCTGTGCAAAAAATAAGAATAACATCGATCATCATCGCCAAGCAATATTTTAAATTTGTAAAATTCGATTGAAGAGTAAAAAGAAATTATTAAAAATTTCAGAGCATAGTTGACAATAATTAAAATAGTGTGATTATGGATGACGGGTTAAAAAATTTTAGATAAAAAAGGGGGAGATGATAATCTTACTTCGCAAAAGTTCCTTTTCTTTAACAAATCAGCAGTAAACAACTAAAATGAGCTGTATGTAGGCTGAGTATGGTGTTTCCAGATTGTAGTACACATTTATCTAGAAGTGCAGTCATAAATTTGAGCGTACAACAAAAAAAACGATGTACACACTGAAGTCAGTAATGTTATCTTTACAACATACACTATGGCGAGATTTTCAAAATATACACGTACGTTTGTGCATTTATAATCTCCCATGCAATGTTAACATCACACAATCATTAAAAGACAATTAATACAGCAACGGATAATAATTTAAAGAAACACTTACATTTCTATGAATTCTTCTTTGCTGAAAACGGTCCTAGATATTGTCCAGGAAAATTATACAATTTCCGCGTTTGAAAAAGGCGGTCACACACGTGTGGTCATACATTAATCAGCATCATGTCACGTGATAATTTTATCAATAGATTATTGGGAGTGCTAATCCTCGTGTATCAGTTGTGTAGATGCCGCACTTTCACATGCTGTGTCTTATCTTTGATTAAAATATTTCCGGATAATAACAAATTAGTTAGTAGCATATTTCGATGAATGATATTTCAAATTTGTACACTTTTATGATTTTGATAAACGTCCCGGTTTGGAATATTCCTAATTTTACTAGATATTGTACAAAAAAATGAAAGGAAACATTGATTACAATTTTTCATAACAAAATCCTTATTTATGAACTTTTGTTGATACAATTACAAAGGATGTACAACTATAATGATTCGCCTTTAACGCTGATGGTGGATAATTTTTTATACCGATGCACACAAGTTTTTTTCTGGACGAACCTCCATCGTCGACATGTCAACCAACATTTAACGTTGAAACAACATATTTATTTCAACCTAACTTCAACATTGAAAATTCAACTAAAATTCAACGTTGAATCAACTTACTTTCTGCAACATAACTTCGACGTTGCTGTTACAACGTTGAAACAACGTTGAAGCAACGTCATGACGAAATATCAACCACATTTCAACGTTGAAATGACGTTGCGTGCCGGGTGGGTACAGTTTAAAATAAAATGATCCCCAGGGTGCAGCTTGATATGACCGCAGAGGTCGAACCCCAAACAGATGGGGCAAGTATTGACACAAAATACAAGCTTGATACAGCTCTGAATTTGGTTTGTGATTAAATATTTGACACAGCATACATGGCATAGGTTTCTGACACAGAATGAATGTGGTTTAAGAACTTAAACATTTTAAATTAGACATTTACCTATTATGGTCCAATATCCTAAATCTAAATACATGGTTAACGTTAGATTCAGCATATAAAAGAACCCCAAGAATTCAATTTTTTGATGAAATCAAACAAAGTTTAATTATGGACCCATTTAACCTCAATGTGGACCAATTTGATAACGGAGCCCAAAAATCAAAAATCTAAATAAATGGTTAGATTCAGCATATCAAAGAACCCCATATATTCAATTTTTTAAAACTCAAACAAAGTTAAATTTTGCACCCGATTTGGAACAACTTGAAAACTGGGCCCATAATCAAAAGTCTAAATATATGTTTAGTTTCAGCATATCAAAGAACCCCAAGAATTCAATTTTGTTAAAATCAAATTAAGTTTTATATTGGACCCTTTGGACCTTAATGTACACCAATTTGAAAACGGGACAAAAATTAAAAATCTAAATACACGGTTAGATTCGGCATATCAAAGAACCCCAATAATTCAATTTTTGATGAAATCAAACAAAGTTTAATTTTGGACCCTTTGGACCTCAACGAGGGCCAATTTAAAAACGGGATACAAAATCCAAAAAAACTTAATACACTGTTAGATTCAGCATATCAAAGAATCCCACATATTCAATTTTTGTTGAAATCAAACAAAAATAAAAGTTTAATTTTGGACCCCGATTTGGACCAACTTGAAAACTGGGCCCAAAATCAAAAATCTAAATACATATTTAGATTCAGCATATCAAAGAACCCCAAGAATTCAATTTTTGTTAAAATCAAACTAAGTTTAATATTGGACCCTTTGGACCTTAATGTAGACCAATTTGAAAACGGGCCAAAAATTAAAAATCTAAATACATGGTAAGATTCGGCATATCAAAGAACCCCAATAATTCAATTTTTGATGAAATCAAACAAAGTTTAATTTTGGACCCTATGGACCTCAATGTTGACCAATTAAAAAATGGGGCCCAAAATCCAAAAATTTAATACAATGTTAGATTCAGAATATTAAAGAACCCCAAGAATTCAAGAATAAACCCCATTGAAATTGGTAAAGAAATAAGCAATTTATACAAAGTATTAGAAAAGTATTGTTATTGGCCCCTAATTCCTAAACAGTTAGGGTTATAACCCCCAAATTCAATTCCAACCTTCCTTTTTTGGTATGGAACCTTGTGGTACAATTTCAGAAAGATCCATACACTTACACACAAGTTATATTGTCTGGAAACTAGTAAAATGCTTATTTTGACCCCTTTTTAGGCCCTTAATTCCTAAACTGTTGGGACCATAACCCCCAAATCAATTCCAACCTTCCTTTTGTGGTTTCAAACCTTGTATTTAAATTTCATAGAGATCCATTCACTGAAACTAAAGTTATTGTCCAGAAACTAAGTGTTTTCGGACGACGCGGACAACAACGACGATGTGAAACCAATATATGACTGCAAATTTTTTTTGCAGTCGTATAAAAAACAACATTAAGGCCTTAACTCTTGATGTTTAGTAAATCTTGATTTCCTGTTAAATAGGCAAAATTGTTTAAATACACCATTTATAGGCATGTTGTGGAATCTCAATAAATACTTATGATATCAATGTTCGTTTAATCGTCGTTGTAGCTATGAAATCTTTCAATAATGTCATTCACTACAACGTTAGGGTTACAACGTTACCATAGTTCAATGTTAGTACTTCGCGTGTACTATTTTCCGACAAGGAAATATTAACTCATGAACATAATATGTTGTCATTTGTGTTACCATCCATACTTCATGCATTTAATAAAAGAACAGCTTTTCAATGTACCTCGCCAATTGATGGATATATATACATGTTTAAAATTTGCTATCAAAAAGCAAAAAATATGTATGTTCTTTTAACCTTTTTCATAAATTATAAATAATCTAAAAGAAATGAAGACGTGTGTGGGATTGCTTGCAATACAATTTTTCTTACAATATCTATTTCCAAGAGGCATAACTCCTGTAAACATATTTGATCAGCACTTATTTTCTAACTCATAAAAGCCTATGCTGATATACATGTAGACATACATGTAAATGTAATTTACGAATTACAAAAATATCTGACAATAAATGTGGATAGTGTCCAAATGTGGACACAGATGATGCCCCCGCTTGCATATCATATAGTTATAAAGGGACATAACTGAAGAACGGTAAAAGTGACGCTACCCAAAAATTTTGTGGTAATAAGCATTGTGTGTAAGTCTCATAACATTCGGTTGAGGCTAACTCAAGTAGAGAACAGAAACTAAAAATTCAGCAATTTTTCTATTTGTAAACATGCATAACTTTAGAACGGTTGTGTTTAAGTTTTATAACATTTGGTTGAGACAAACTAAAGTTTTGTGATAAGGCTTAAATTAAAATATTGTTTGTTTGCAGTTTACCGACCGACCTTCGAAAATCCGCCCGACTGTGAACATTTTATTGCTTTTAATTTGAAGAAATTATTTTTAATACTTCAATTGACTCGATCCGGAATTTCGGGTCGTTTCCGGAATTGATTTCGAGTCTAGGTCAATTACATGTTTGAAGTTCGGTTTTTCTTCCCTTCCTGTCAAGCGTTCATCGGACCTTTTAATGGTAAAGCACATGGAGATTGTTTACAGGTATCCACGAAGTCATGGAGGAGTACTTTATTCTGTCGTCTTCTGTCAATTTTAAGACAAAGAATACACAGAAAAGTTTCATAGTAAACTGTTTATACTGATTCAGGCAGAATTGCACACGGAATGATGTCTTCGATGATATCATTGACGATGATGTAGCGGATATTCATAAAACCGACACGATAACCGTTTCTGTCTCAAACAAATCGGATACAGAATCTTTTGAGACTGACTTTATGGAACCAATATCAGTGGTTCAACAATTCGACAGCATCTTGAAGTATGCCATATTTTCTTTAAATCGTCGTGAAGACGACAAAGAGGAAACAGACTCCTCCGTGACTTCATGGATAACTGTAAACACGCCTGTACGGTGGAAGGACGCATTTGAAATGTTAAATCAATAAGAAGCCACACAAACTACACAAAGATGTAGAGAAAATGAATGGTTGGCTTGAGAAATAAATATATTCTCTCTGTATCAAATCTATCTTCGATTGCAATGAGTATGCTCCTTTAGGATAAGGGGGCTGTCCCACTCATTGCAATTATTCTCTCTCTTACAATATTAAATATACCCACAATGTGTGGCCTGTGTGAATTGAATTGAAATATGTCCTTAGCTAGGAGCTATGCTGCCAATTTTTATGCAGTCAAGCATTTAAGTACAGACCATTTACTTTTAATGGGATGCTATGGATTTCACCCAAAAGCTAGACTTAAGATTTTTGTTTGTTTTAATTAAAGCCTGGCATCAACATATCTTTCCAAATATAACCTTTATGTCAGATGTCTTATATATTTTTTTTAAGTTGTCTTTTTTTTTATAATTGAGGAAGATTCAATCTTTTTTTAACACACTCCTAAATTGTCTTTTGAATCTTTAATATCTACATTTTTCTGATGCAAATACTCTACTCATGAAAACTTCTAGTAAAGATGCATATACAAATGTATGTCAGTGAATATGTTTCTTTACAACAATTCTAGTCATTCCTTGTTTATAAGTGTTCCAGTATTTCATAATACCATAAATTTATGTCATAAATTGTATAATGACACTATGTTAAGTTTCAGTTTTGGTTAAAAAGGTGTTAACCTGAAAATGCCTGTTCATTTCATGTTGGTTTTCAGTGTTTGTTGTTTTAAAATGTTTTTTTCTTCACAAGAAACTTGGTTTGTGTTAAACTAAAATTGAGAATGGAAATGGGGAATGTGTCAAAGAGACAACAACCCGACCATAGAACAGACAACAGCAGAAGGTCACCAACAGGTCTTCAATGCAGCGAGAAATTCCCGCACCCGGAGGCGTCCTTCAGCTGGCCCCTAAACAAATATATATACTAGTTCAGTGATAATGAACGCCATACTAAACTCCAAATTGTACACAAGAAACTAAAATTAAAAATAATACAAGACTGACAAAGGCTAGAGGCTCCTTGTTTAAACTTTATTCTGGCTGATAAAATAAAATATGTTTCCTACCTACCGACCCTGCAGTCTGAAGGTACAGTCAGAAAACTGCAAACAAACATATTTTTAAGGTTGGCCGAATGAATATTGTGTATAGGTTTTATAATATTTGGTTGAGGCAAACTTAAGTTACCGAATGGAAACTAAAAATTTTGCAATCTTTCGATTTATAAAGGGGCATAACTCAATAATGGTTAAAGTGACACTACCCAAATTCAACTTGATCTGTGTTTTATCAGTGGAA